GGGGGAGGAGGGGGGTCAGTTTGCTGGGATCGGGGCTGTCCGGCCTGGCACGCCCGCCGGGCTAGGAAGCCGCCGGCTTTATTTCCTAAGAGCCGGAGGCGGGAAGAACTGGCTGGAAGCGGGAGGAGGAAGTGGATCCTGGGTGAGGAGTGTTCCCATTGCCTTGGAAACGCACAACGCCAGGCACGGCCATTTGGAGCTCCTGAGAGCTGCCCTGGCTCCCACCCCAGGAGGCGGTGGGTCCGAGCCCGCTTTCCCCGCTCCTTGGAGCTTTGGGGACAGGCAGACACGCAGGGCCTTCCGTCCTCCCCAAGCGGGACTTTCTCCCTGGGGAAGGCGTGCCGGCGGCTGCCTCTCCCTGCCTTTTGGGGAATGGGAGGCCTGGTGTGCGGGGAGCTGGGTGGAGAAGGCCCAGGCTGCCCTCGGAGCTGGGCTTCGTCGGGGAGCGGAGCTTGCCCGGGAGGCACCAGGTCTGGGGGTCCATTCGCTCTGCTGTAAACTGCTGGCATGACCCGAGTCGGACCCTTCCTGCGCCAGGCTCAGCCTCCTGTCTGGGGCCGGGGACGCTGCTTGGAGACGACCTCTACGGCCCCTTCCCCCCCGCATCTCCTGGCCATCTGATGCTGTGACCCTGGGCAAGCCCCTGGCCTCTGGATGCCCTTTGGTCTCTGTAGAGTCGTGCTGCTGCCCGCCTGCCTCCCTGCAGGCTGAGGGTGTGCAGTGAGATAGTGGCTCCCCAGGAAACGTGCGAACCCCCCGAATGACTGGAGACAGTGTAGGGCTGGCTTCAGGGCAACAGCCTCCAAGAGGGACAGTCACTGAGCCCTCCTTTGGGTTGGCTGCCACTGAGACCTCACTGGATGCTCACAGTGACCCCTCGCTATGGGGGAGGGGAGTGAGGCTCAGAGAGGCCAAATCACTGGCCTAAGGCCACACAGCCAGGAAAAGGCAGAGGCGGGATCAGAACCACTAGGCTCCATCATGCTATCTCATTCCAGGGAAGAGCAGACTGTCTGCTCTCATTCCTTCCCTCCCCGCAACCCCTTACTGGGCCTGAAGTGGGGGGCGGGCAGGGGGAGGCCTTACTCTTCTCCTGCCATAGCCTGTGCCCCTCACCTCTCTAGGATGAGACCGGGGCCTACCTCATTGACCGTGACCCCACCTACTTCGGGCCCATCCTGAACTTCCTCCGCCATGGCAAGCTGGTGCTGGACAAGGACATGGCCGAGGAGGGTGAGTTGGTCCAGGGGGCCGGCCGGGCCTGCTAGCCCTGCCCTCTGCAGCCGGCCAGGCCTTCTGTGGAGGTCAAAAGCCATGCCTCCCCGTCAGGAGCGACATCTGCTTTCCTCTGTGCTCTGCCTCTTCCCATTCATGCCAGGGCTGAGTCCCAGGGGCTCTGCCGGGCTGACCAGCCTGAGCTCCCACTGGGTGCCACTGGGGAGGTGACAGGAATGCACAGGCAGAGGTCAGAGGGAGCCAGCGAGGCTGGCAGCCTTCACTGTGGGCAGGGATGCCCTTTCTCCCGGTCGTCTGGGTGTGAACGGGCTGGAGCTGGACACGGTGATCCAGTATCTCCGATGCCTGGTGAGGGCTTGCAGTCAGCAGGTGGGTGGAGCGGGAAGCTCTGCCCCAAATTCGGCAACATCTGCATCACAGTGTTGGCGGCGGGTGGAGGCGGGGAAGCTGTGCCTGGGGGGTGGCCTCTTGGCACAGTCAGTGCCACGTCAGCTCTTTGTTGGGGCACAGGGTGTGGCTCTGGGTCAGCTGACCCGGCCAGTCCAGCGTGGACATGTCACTTCTCCTTTCTGAGTCTCCACGTGTATATGAAGTATACCTGGTGATCTGCACTGGTGAAAGCATGTTTTGCAACAGCTAATGCCATGTGATCTGATGCGTGTAGCCTGTTGGTGTCTAGCACAGTCCACCCTCCTCCCTAGCGCGTCCCCAGTGGGCCAGGACTTCAAAATCAGAGCTCCTCCCCACCCCCCATAGACACTGGCTCATCAGGGCCCACAGCTTCCAGGCAGCCCCTCCTGGAGCAGGTACCGTGGGCGTGGCCTGGGCCCAGGAGCGGCTCCTCGGGGGAGGGGAATAAACACTCCAGCTGCCACAGCCAACACCTGCTTACAGGTTCCGGTTTTCTCCATGTTTGGCCACTCCCAGCGCCTTCAGACAGGGCGAGGGCCCCATGTGGGCGGCGGGGAATCTGGGAGGAGACTTCCCGGCCGTGTGACACCGGCAAAGTCACTTATCCTTTTGTGCCTTCATGCCGCATCTGTGACCTGGGGTGACAGCAGCACCCACCTGGCTGAGCTGCTGCGAGGATGAAAGGAGCTAAAACAAGTGTGTCACGCGGCGCAGCATCTGGCACCAGAGGACCAGTGACGCAATGTTAGCTGTCCGTCCTCCGCAGGGCTCCACGCGGGCACTGATGCAGCACCACCCACTGACCGCCTACTCTGTGTTCCGTGCTGTGTGGGCACCGGGGACAGCAGGGAGCCCAGAGGCCGGTCATGGACACCATCGGAGGGGTCCCTGCCCTGAGGGGCTTAGGGGAGTCCAGAGGCCGGGGGCCATTCCACTCCACTGGAGGGGTGACCACTTTGTCTCTAAGACTCGGTTCCCTTAACGGTACGGGGACGATAATGCCGGCTTCCCTGTGTCCCCAGGGCCGTGGTGAGCACAGGAGGGGCTTTGCAGACTGGGAAGTGGGGACGGGGACGCGCACATGCGCAGTGACCATGCACTTACAGTGGGCCTTGACGTCCGGAGCTTGAGTGTGAATCTTGGCTCTGCCGCTTAGGGGCTCTGGGGTCTTAGACAAGCTGCTTCTCTTCCTGGCTCTCAGATTCCCCATTGCTTCTGTGGGGCGACAGAAGTGCCAATCCTAGTTCTGAGAACTAACCACAGTAAAGCGTGGGAAATGCCGAGCCTAGCGCCTGGCATGGGGCATCATGGAACGGGGTCAGCCAGGGCCCCTCGCACTGTGGCAAGCTAGGGCCCAGTCCCAGCCAGCCTGCTGCCCCTTGACAGCCCAGAGCGGCCCCCGGATCAGGGGACTGGTAGGCACCCCTCGGTCACCAGGCTCGGCCCCGCAGAGATGCCGGCTGCTGAGCGGCAGTATCTCGCCCCTTCCACAGAGCGTGGGATGCAAGGAAGGAGAGGTTCCCTCTTGCTTGACCCCTGAACTCAGGAGATGCCCGTCACCCTCGTGTGACTGGAGCAGGAGGTAGGTGTGGAGGAGGAGGGGACACGGGAAGAATGGGAGCAGCGGAGTGACCCGGGACGGCTTTGTCTGTGCCAGGGGTCCTGGAGGAAGCCGAGTTCTACAACATCGGCCCGCTCATTCGCATCATCAAGGACCGGATGGAGGAGAAGGACTACCCCGTCACACAGGTCAGGGAGCAGGGGAGCAGCAGGGCAGCAGCCGTGGCCAGAGCAGCTGGTGATGGGGAGAGGGAGGCGGGAGTAAGGTTGGGAGAGGCGGGACAGTGTTTGCCTTGGGGAGTCCCAGCGGGCCTGTAAGGGAGGGTAGTTGTCCAGCTCCCAGACTCCCCAGCAAAGCGCAGACTGGGAGATAAACACGTCCTTCCCTGCCAGGATGTGTTCGCTGTGTCACCTTGGGCCACGCACGCCCCTCTCTAGACCTCGGATTCCTCTGGTGGGACACAGAGATCTGAGAATTGCCCATCCCTTCCCTTCCTCAGGCAAAACGGGGTCAGTGTGGAGGGACAGGGGGCCCTTTGGGGGACAGGGCAGGGTTAGTCAATTGTCTGTTTCGTGAGATCAGGCGGTGCCCTGGCGGACACGGCACAGCACAGCTGTGGAGCTGGCATTTCTGAGCGTGGACCCTGGGCCTCAGTAGCCGGCCTGTAGGGGGTGCTGTGAGATGCTCGGCCCGCCCTGGCCGAGAGGCGGAGGCAGGGAACAGGCAGCGAGGCACCCTTTCCTAGGCCCAGATTGAAGGGAAGGCTCCGTGTCTCCTGGAGGGCCTGCCTCAATTAGGGACCCCGAATGTCCCCCAGGCCCGTCCCTTCCCTTTTGTATCACAGTTCTGGCTCTGCCACTCTTTAGCTGGGTGACATTGGGCAAGTAATTGACCCTCTCTGAGCCTTCGTGAAAATTCCTAACTCCTAGAGTGTCTGGGAGGATCGAGATCACAAATGCCGAGTGCCCGGCATATAGTCAGCACTCGGAACGTGGCTCCCATCTTCCCATCCTGCCACCCTCTCCTTCTCTCCTTCTAGGGCAGCGGTTCTCAACCTGTGGGTCGAGACCCCTTTGGCGGTCGAACGACCCTTTCACAGGGGTCGCCTAAGACCATCCTGCATATCAGATATTTACATTACGATTCATAACAGTAGCAACATTACAGTTATGAAGTAGCAACGAAAATAATTTTATGGTTGGGTCACAACACGAGGAACTGTATTTAAAGGGCCAGAAGGTTGAGAACCACTATTCTACAGAAAGCCACTGTTCACCTGACAGCAGCAGACCCCCCTCCTGGGTGCCCTCCACCTTGCCCTTCTTCTGCCTGCAGGTCCCGCCCAAGCACGTGTACCGCGTGCTGCAGTGCCAGGAGGAGGAGCTCACGCAGATGGTCTCCACCATGTCTGACGGCTGGCGCTTTGAGCAGGTGGGCTGGGGGCGGGGGGCCATGCCCAGGGCCTCCCAGTCTCCGGGCAGAGTAGGCCCCTCCCTTCCTGTAGCCCCAGCCTTGGGTCTCATGCTGCTGCCCCACCTGAGGGGTCCTCTTAAGTTACAGTAAACAAGATCAGCCCGGCCGGCGTGGCTCAGTGGTTGAGAGTCAACCCATGAACCAGGAGGTCATAGTTTGATTCCCGGTCAGGGCACTGGGGTTGCTGGCTCAATCCCCAGTGCGGGGCCTGTGGGAGGCAGCCGATCCATGATTCTCTCTCATCATTGATGCTTCTATCTCTCCCTCCTCTGTCCGAAATCAATAAAAACATATTTAGAGTAAACACAACCAGGAAAGGTCACCGTTGGCCGCAGATGGGCCAGGACGAGAGAGGGTAGAAGGCCCACCTGCTGCAGGGCAGTTCTGGGCACCCTCCGTGCTCACACTACTAGTCTCCACAGTAGTGTGAGCGAGCCTCTGGCCCCCAAGTGACAGCTCAGGCGCAGGAGTTGTGGTCCACATAGGTGAGCAGAGCCCACCTGGAGCTAACACCTCCGGGAACAGTTCCATACGCACAGCTGCAGGGTCCCAGCCAGTGACATGCCACAGTCATCTGCACGTTAAGAGAAGCCCACAGCAGTGGCTCCGCCGGAGGAATTCATAGTGACCCCTCGTTCCTCCCAGGCCCGAGGCAGGCTTCCCGGCAGGGACTTGTCATCCTAAGTGGTGTTGGCCTAGTCACAAAGCAGACGTCCCGCCTGTCTCAGGTTCCAGAGGGACAGCCAGTGCTAGCCCGGGGTCAGGTTGACCCGTAGGGAAGGAGAGGGTTTGGCTAGCCCTGTATCCAAACCCACACGCGCGCTCCCTGGTGGAGGTTGTGAAGGGAGAAGGCTGGGCTCCCTGGGGGGCCGGGCCGTGTGGAGGAAGGAGCCCCCTCCAGGAGCCAGAGGCCTGATTCACATCTAGGCCTCACCAAGGACATGCGGTGTGACAGAGCAAGTTGCCTCTCCACCCTGCGCCTCAGTTTCCTAACCTGTGCTGTAGCGCTGTCGTGAGATGAGAAGGACCACTGATCAAGTCCCTCGTGCGGGGGGGACTCTAGCCATTGGAACAAGCGGGCATCATGCAAATCGTTAGACGTAGTTAAGTCTGTAAGACCCCAGAGAGGCCTTGGGGTCTCAGGTTCTGACTCCTGTTCACTCGTCCTGGCTGTGGGCCTTCCAGCAGGGCACCCCCTCCCCAAGCCTCGTCTGTGGATCGGCTGGCACTTCCTCTGCTGCTGGAGGAGGGTCCCTGGGGCTGAGGGAGGCCTGCCAGGTGCAGGGCCTTGGTCAGCCAGAGGGGCCGGTGGGTGTAGGGCTGCCCTTGAGCGCCCACGGGAGTCCGTGGCCATTGCGTGTGTTCTCAGAGGCCGAGCCAGCAGGTCGGGGGGCGACTGGTCTGGCCTGAGCAGTGGGCGACCTGTCCTACCTCTGCTTCCAAGAGTGAACCGAAGATTCTGTGGGGCCCCCTCATGCCTGCCTGGTCCCAGGGCTGCGGCAGCCTCATCTGGCACAGAGGGCAGCCTGCCCATGACAGGCCTGCTTTTAGGAAGCGGCCTGCTAGGCCTGGGCCGGGTCGGGGTGGGGCTGCGGGAGGAGCAGCAGTGCTGCCGGCCTTCCTCCAGGGACAGGCCCAGCCCGGCCAGGGAGGCTGGTCTGAAAGCACAGCAGAGGCGCAGGGGGGAGGGGCGGAGACTGGACTTGCAGCCCAGAGCTGCTCTCTCAAATCCTGGAAACCCAGGGATGCGTCTGAGCAGAACAGCCAGATCAGGACACAAGTTGGTATTTTTTTTTTAATCCTCACCTGAGGGTATTTTTTCCATTGATTGTTACAGAGTGTGTAAGGGAGGGAGAGGGGACAGGGAACAGCCAGATCAGGACACAAGTTGGTATTTTTTTTTAATTCTCACCTGAGGGTATTTTTTCCATTGATTGTTAGAGAGTGTGGAAGGGAGGGAGGAAGAGGGGCAGGGGGAAAAGAGAGAGAAACATTGGTGTGAGAGATACGCATCCGTTGGTTGCCTTCCGCATGCAAAAGAGAGAGAAACATTGATGTGAGAGAGACACATCCGTTGGTTGCTTTCCGCATGTGCCCCAACCAGGGGCTGGGGGTTGAACCTGCCCCCGAGGTACTTGCCCGTGACTTGGAATAGAACCTGACACCCTTCGGTCCTCTGGCTGACGCGCTAACCGCTGGGCACACTGGCCAGGGCACACGTTGGTGTCTTGACAAGTGCCGATGCCCACCTCCTCCCTCCGCACTGCCCCCAGCTGGACTGATCATCTCTCTCCCGTGGCCACCCTGTAGCTGGTGAACATCGGCTCCTCCTATAACTACAGCGGAGAGGACCAGGCGGAGTTCCTGTGCGTGGTGTCCAAGGAGCTCCACAGCTCCCCCCACGGGCTGAGCTCCGAGTCCAGCCGCAAAACCAAGGTGAGCCCAGCCTCCCCGCTTCCTCCCTGCCCCCCTGCCCTCCACGTAGCCATCCCTGCTTCTTCCTCCCGCTGCACACGCATAACCCCCCTCATAGTCCACGCCATCCATCCCATGCCACCCATGGTCCTGTCTGCTCATCGGGTCACCCAGGCCCAGGCTGGGGAGCAGTGAGATGGGACCATCCCAAGGCCGCGGCAGGAGTGACGTAGATGCCACTTGAACGGTGGCCACAAGGGGGAGGGAGTGCCCTGGGCCGGGCGTCTGGCCTGATGTGCCTCGCTCTGTGCGATCTTGGCCAAGTCCCCTCCCCTCGGCACCTTCTTTGTGTTGTCTGAGAATTGAGGGGGTAGGTCACATCCTCTCTGTGGTGCCGTCGAGCTTAGAGCTTCTGGGATCCTCATGGCCCGTCTATTCCCAGGGGCAGGTCAGTGTCCCCAGCTGGCCCGGGCCGGGGTGGGGAAGCCCAGTCTCTTAGCCGCGCCCCTTTCCCAGGCACCTGTGTTTCCACCCTGGCCTCTGAGGCAGCCTCAGCTGCCGCCCTGGACCCACGGCTGGTCACAAGCCTCAGGCGCCTTCCGTAGGGCCTGTGGGACAGGCAGCAAGCCGGGCGGGGAGCAAGGGAGGCCATTCCTTCCGGGGTCTGTCCCTGTGCCTTGGAGACGTATGAACCCTGGCTTCCTGTCTGTCTGTCTGCCTTCCCTGGCCTGGGGCTTCCCTGGCCCACCACCCCGCTCCGGCCAGTGGCTGGTGCTGCCTTCCGCTCCTGCCCCTGGGCCAGCGCCTGATGCTGGCCTCCCAGAACTGGGTGGTGTCCGCCCTGGGTCTTCCCCGGCCTCATTTCAACTCGGGCCGCCCTCCTGAAATGAAGCCTTCCCAGGCGTCCCTCAAGGACACCCCCTCCATACTCCCATCCAGGCGCACACCCTCTCCAGCCCCCTTCTCCCCCTGCCCAGCCTGCGCCCTATGCCAGCAGCCGGACCGGCCCGTGCTGTGCTGGTTTCTCCCGTCCCTTCCCAGGCTTCCCAGGGGACTGGCCAGATGCCCAGCTTCTTGGCTGTAGCCCTCCCTTCTCCCGGCCCATCTAGCCCACTGCCCGCCCTCCGCCGGGGCTCGTGGGGACAGCCGCCCGCAGGCCCCTCGCTAGTTCTCCACTCTTTCTTCCCTGGGTCCGCCGGCTGGTCCACAGAGCGCGGAGGAGCAGCTGGAGGAGGAGCAGCAGCAGGAGGAGGAGGAGGTGGAGGTGGAACAGGTGCAGGTGGAGGCAGATACACAGGAGAAAGGTGCAGCCAACCCCCGAGGAGAATGATTGCTCACACAAGCCGGAGCCTCCCGCCCGCTCCCTGCTGGAGCCAGCGCAGAACCGGGGGGCCGAGGGCTGCTGGGGGGCGGGCCGCCAGGGTTAGCTCAGCCGCCTGCCTGGCACCTCACCTGCATAACCATCCCTTCTCTCACTTTCTCTTTGCAGCCCAGTCATCTCAGGATCTCGCTAACCTTTTCTCCCTCCCACCACCGCCTCCTCCTCCTCAGCTTCCCGCTGGAGGTCCTGCCTCATCTTCATCCACCTCTTCTTCCTCCTGGATCTCTGCACCCTGCCTCTTCCCTCTCTGCCCCTGTCCGGGTTTCCTCTCTGCCTGCTCACGCCTCCATCCCGGGGCCACCCTGGTCCCAGCCTCCCGCGCCCTCCACCCAGGCGCCCCAGCCTTGCATCTCAGAGCATCCTGCCTGCCGCCTCCTGCATCCCTCTTGGCAGCTCCTACCTCCTGGCCTGGGGAGGAGGGGTGCAGCTGCACCTCCTCTGGCCCTGCCAACACCACTGGGCACCTCTGAGGCTGGGCCACCCGGCCCCAGCGCCTCGCCTCCTCGCCTCCTGCTCACATTTCCTCCTTGCAGGTTCCCGTCTGCACCCCTCAGGCCTGAGGCTGCGCGTGCAGGGAGGGCCTCAGCCCCTCACCCACCCCCAGAACGCCACCCCCGGTTTGTAGCTTGGCGGAGCTGGAGGGAGGGCAGAAGCCAGGAGGGTGCTCAGATCTTGTTCCTTGGACTTGGGCCAAACTTCTGGCTGATTTTTCGCCCCTCACCAAAGTTTCTCAGCTGACCTTGGCCTTGGATATGAGGCTGAGAGAGAAGAAGGAAGCTAGGGGTGGACCCTGTGCCATCTGCCCATCAGCGCCCGAGCAGGCTGGGCAGGAGGGGGGGATGCAAGCCAGATGCCCCGGCCTCCCCCTGCACACAAGCTCCTGCCTCACCGCCTCGGGGCCTGGGTCCCCGTCTCTGCAGGGAGGGCAGGACAGGCCACACTTGGGTTCCCTCGGCCTCTGAGGAGTCAGCCAGAGCCGGTATGGGGATCGGTGTGCGGCACCAAAAGCCCTGGTCCCGTACTTAGAGCCCCCACTCGGTCTTGTCTGCCTGCTCGGTCACTCAGGGCGATGACTGCTTTCTGACCTGCCTCTCTCGGCCTTGACCCCCTGGCCAGTCTTGGCAGAAACTGGCCTCCTAGGCAGCCACCACCGGCCCAGAATGGGGTCTGGGGCTCCCCTCCTCCCGGGCTCTGTCTGAATCCCCCTTCTCTGGGCCTCAGCCCCCTCCCTCCTCCCAGAAGGGACCCTGTGACTCACCTACCTCTTTCTCTCTCCCTCTCTCCCCACCCCCCCCTCCATTTCAATCTCCTTTCTGTCCTCCTCCTGCCCGCCCATCACCCTCCTCACCGGCCCCCCCATCCCTTTCCCGGTGTTCTGACCGCCCCGCCCCCGCCCCCCTGCCTTTCCCTCTTATTTTCTAGCTGTTACAAGCCAGAGGCACCCGGATGTGAGGCCCCAGATCACCTCCAGGCACTTGGGGTTCCGATCTGAAGTCCTTTATTTTTGTACCACGGGGTGGGCCCCCAGTTCAAGGGGGAGGAAGTGCTCTTCCCGCTGCCACCTCTGCCTACACCTGTGGGGCTGTGACCTACCCCTGCCTCCCTGGCGGGCCCTGGCACCCCTGGGCAGAGCCGCCTGCCTGTGGCCAAAGTGTGGCGCTGTCCAGCCGTGTCTCCCAGGCCCCTACGTCCCTTCCCCCGAGACCCCCAGCTGCATGGCGGATACAATCCCTCCTGGCCCGGTCACGTCACCTCCTTGAGCCTTAGCCTCCCTGTCTGTCAAATGGGCCCACTCTCCCCCCACCTACCTCACAGGGTTGTTGTGAGGTGCAGGGTCTCAGAAAGCCCTCCCTCAGGGAGTGAGTGCCCCACCCAGGGCGGCCCCCTCCCCTCTTCCCTCGAGGGGAAGGACAGTGTAGCTCCAGATGAGGTTAGGTGGGGGGGAGGGGTGGGGCAGCCCTCGGCCTTCCCCTGGACGGCTCCGCCCTCTGTACTGCTGTGGACAGAGGCAGGGGCTCAGCAGGGGCAGTGAGGCCACTTCGGACCTGGGGAGACGGGAGAGGGGCCACTCCCTCTGTCAGGGCCTCTGTCTGACTCCCCGCGGGTACCTCTCAGCTGTGTCTGCATCACCATGTAATAAAATCTGAAGAAACAGCGGCCTGGCTGCCTCCCTCCTTCTCTGGGTCCCTTTTGGGGGCTGGGGCTAAACTCAAGGTGGGATGATGACCCAAAGGTAATGGGCTTTTTCCTAAAACCCGGGACCCAGAGGGGTAGGGGACTCACAATGGCGGGGATCCTCTGCCCAGACATCGAGAGCATCAGTCTTGCCTTGCTGGTGCCCACCCCTCTCTGGGCCCCCTTTTCCTCGTCTGAAACAAGGGGTTGGACCAGGCGACTACCAGGCCAGGCCAGCAGGTTGCTGAGGGGCAAGGAGCTGGGCGCCAGGAGACCAGGTGCTCCCTGCCTGGCTCCCTGCCTCCCACTTCACAGCCTCAGCCCACTGTCCAGATGACCCTCTGCTGGCTGGCTTCACGCTGCTGCTCGAGGCCTCCCCTGCTCCATCCCAACCCCCTAGGACACCCCTGCTCCCTGCTATGACAACTCTTGGTCGCCTCCACCCCTCCCTGTTGCTCTATCCTCTGCCCCAAGTCCCAGGAAACAGAAACACCTTCCCGGTGTCCCGCCTTCTCTTAGAGCCTAGAGTCTAGACTCTAGACTCTGGCTTCTCTTTCCTGCCCTGCCAGGACCGTCCCCACCCCAGCTGGCCAGCTCCTTCCCCTCCCTAGTCCTGCTGAGGTCAGTGCCTAGGGCCCCATTCAATCTCAAAACAGGGCCTTGGGTCAGAGATTTTATTCCAGGCAGCTGAGCTCACCGCCAGGCCAGCCGCGAGTGGGCAGTGGAGGCCCAGGGGCAGGGAGGGTGTGGCCCAGGCTCCACCCCCCTTTGGCTCACAGTGGCAGCTGGCCTGCTTGGCGGTCTCCGCTCTGAGGGCCCCTCAGGGGCACCTCCCACCCCCACCTCTCAAGTTAGGTCAGGGGTGTCACAGCCTGGAATCTGCTCTCTGGAGTGGGTGCTCCCAAGCAGCCGCTGCACTGGGGGTGGGGTGGGGGTGGGGGTGGGGCTCAGACACTCCTTCTGGGACCTGGAAGCCACATCCTCACTGTGGAGCAGTCCCCCCCCCCACCCCAAGTTAGGGGGGACAGGGCAGGGAGAGAGAATCGGGAGCCTGGTGACCATGCCAGGCACGCTGGGAAAGTACTGACCAGCTGCGGGCCCTCCTCCCTGCGTGTGCCCCCTGGGGCCAAGTTAGGGGGGACAGGGCAGGGAGAGAGAATTGGGAGCCTGGTGACCATGCCAGGCTCACTGGGAAAGTACTGACCAGCTGCGGGCCCTCCTCCCTTCGTGTGCCCCCTGGAGTGATGCCAGGGAGCAGGCTGGGGGACAAGATGCCACTCTGGCTCCCACAGGGCCCCGCTGCCCCAGAATACTTGTTCCCCGCCTGATGGGTGCCCTGAGCTCTGCAGGGGGCAGCTCCTCAGGTCAGCACCTGCTGGATCCAGCCAATCACACCTGTGATGCGGGTGTAGACGCCAAAGTAGTTGGGCCGGCCGCAGCCCAGGCCCCAGCTGACCAGCCCCGCCAGGAACCAGCGACCACTGGGCTCCCTGCACACCAGTGGGCCGCCCGAGTCGCCCTGAAAGGTGGGAGGAGAGACAGGACTACGTCAGGGCAGGGTGCCTGCTCCAGGGCAGGTGCTGGCTGCTGGGGGTTTCTGAGTGACAGCAAGAAGGCCGCATTCCCTCTTGAAGCCTTGGCTTCCCTGGGCCCTTGGCCTGGCCTCCAGCATGTCCTGACTGGCCTGGAACTGGGCGGGGATCTGTGTGTGTGTGTGTGTGTGTGTGTCCACACACCCCGTCCACCCCTGCCTCCTCCTGGGGGCTCCTAGTCCTCTCTCCTGTGTCACCTCGGGCAAACTGCCTTGCGGTGGGCGAGGAGCAGAACTGGGTTTGAGCCTCAGACCTGCCTGCCCACCACAGTCTCTTCTGATCTGTGGCCTACAACCCGGGGCAAGTCCCTCAACCTCCTTGAGCCTCGGTTTTGTCATCTGTAAAGGGACAGCCATCACCACCTTGCTGGGGGCAAGCTGATGTGAGCAGAGGGCCAGACCCTGGGTGATGGGCACGTCACCCCCCTCCCCTCCCCGTCTCCCCCAGCCCCGGGAGTCACCTGGCAGGCGTCCTTCTTGCCCTTGTGGTAGCCGGCACACAGCATGCGGGGCGTCACCTGGTAGCGGTAGGCCTCACTGCACAGGTCCTGCGTGATCAGCTGCACGTCCACCTTCTGCAGGCCGTTGCTGATGGGGCCTGCCCGGCGAGCGGGGCCAAGGCCAGAGGGCAGAGGTGAGAAGATCCAAGGCGCCCTGGAGTCCCCACCCTTCCTTCCACTGTTCCCTTGGCATCCCAGGAGCCCCTCTCCTGCCCTGCCCACCCCTGCACCTCCGCCTCATGGTCACTCTGTTCAGGCTCCTCCCCTGTGTGGCCCACGGGCACAGAGCCCCTGCCCAGAGCCTGTCTGGACGGGTGTCTTCTCCAGTTGTTCCTCCCCTTCCGCCTCCTGCTTGAGCCCCATGTCGCCTCCCCTCTGCTCTGGGACAGCCCCGGGATTCTCCAGAGCACACGTCTGACCCCCCACACGCCCTCGAAAACTCTCAGCACTGGCCCCTGTCCAACCCAGCGCTTCTCCGAGGGGCTCGAGGGCTGCGTGCAGGACCCAGGAGGCTCCAGCGTGCACTGTGCCTGGTCTCGCTCAGAGACCTGTTCGCCCGGGGAGGGCCGGCCTCCAGTGTTTCTCTCCGTGCCCTCAGCGGGTCTAACGCACAGGGCAAGGTCCTGCCCGCAGGTCCTCACCCAGCTCCCCTGCCTGCTCCCCGCGGGCGCTCGGCGTGCTGCCTTCCTGGGGGTGCCTTTCCCTCCGCCGGGCACTGCCAGCTCACGCTCCTCCCTCAGCCTAGGCCTCCCCTGGACGCCTGCTCAGGGCTGCCTGCACCTGCCCGCCCAGGTCAGCTCTTAGCACTGTCTCCCCAGCGGATGCTCTCTCTCCATCTTCATACCCCTCAGCCCAACTCCATGTGTGGCATGTCGTGGCTGCTCCTCACTGTGTCGTGGGACGCAGACGGATGAATGGATGAGCGAGGGAGCCAGCCCTTGCCTTACCACTGCCCTCCCTCATCCTCTGGGGAGGTCACCGTTCACCGAGCCTGTTTCCTCTTTTATGAATGATTCCGACAGTGCTGCCTCCACATTGTAAGTCACTGCACACCTTCTAAAAGCCACCACCATGGAGGGCACAGGGCCTGGCTGGAGTTCTGCCAGCCCAGGCCCGGTTCACAGGACGGAGAGGTGGCCTCTAGGAGAGCCGCCCGGTCAGGTGAGGCAGGAAGGGAACCCACCTGCCTGGGTTCTAGCCCCAGCGCCATCCGTTCCTAGATGTGTATGTGCCTCTCCAACCCCCTGTGCCTGAGAGGCCGTAGCAGGAACAGCATGGGCTCTGGGGCCAGGCAGTCCTGGGATCCAGTCTCTGCTCCAGCCCTCTCTGCCTATGTGTTTTTGGCAACAGCTAAATGTCTCTGAGCCTCAGTTTCCCCATCCATAAAATGGGGCCGTACTACTCACCTAGGGTTATTGCGTGGATTAAATTAAATCATGTTCCCCTAAAATCAAACCTTAATTAAAAGCCGCCTCTCCTGCCTTGCCCCCCAACACACACACACACACACACACACACACACAAACACACCACCTTCCCACCCTGACTCCAAGGAGCAGAGGGTTGAGCTTGCCTGTGGGCTGTGGGCCCCTGGCCTGCCCCTTAACCCCACACAGAACCAAGATAACCTCCCATGACATCGGTTCTCCATAAATGCCCTTCCAGGAGGAAGGCAAGGGCCAGGAAGGCAGGCGCCCACAGGTAGTAAAAGATTGTTTTGTTCTGTGAAATCCAACCGGACTTACTCCTGGGACTTGCAGGCCTCAGGGTGGAACCCTGGGCCCCTTGCCCCGCCCCCCTCTAGGCTAGACATTGGGGGAGGCCCACCCCGAAGGCCTGCTCACCCCCCTCTCGCAGGGCGCCCCAGCCCGTGATCCAGCAGTGCAGGCCCGGCTCAAAGAAGTGGGAGCGCGCAGGCAGGCAGACGGGGCGGATGGCGGAGGAGCGCACCACGGGGTGGTCCAGCTGCAGCAGGGCCACGTCGTAGTCGTGGCTGTCCTCCTCGTGGTACGGGTGCAGGAGCAGGCGGCTCACCTTGAAGGACACCTCGCCCGGCCAGCGTGAGCTCTGCCACACCTTGCCCAGGAACACCGTCCACAGCGCCGGGGAGGCCATGCTGGGGGCGGGAGGGTGTCCACTCAGCAGTGGGCTTTCCTGTGCCAGTTCCTTCGAGTAGCCGGCTTCACCCCCCCCACCACCCCGGCCTCTGGACATGGTCCCCACATCCATCCCCTCCTGCTCTGTGAGGCCAGGTAGCTGGAGGCTGGCACAGTGTTCACTGTCCACTCTGGAGCCCGCCTGCCTGGGTTCCAGCCCCAGCTCCATCCGTTCCCAGATGTGTGTGTGCCTCTCTAAGCCTCAGTCTCCTTATCTGTGAAATGGGAATAGCATCTTCTACTCAGGTTTTCGGGGGGGATGTAGTAAGACTGTAGGTAAAAATATTAACACAGTGTTGGGGCCTGGCCAACGTGGCTCAGTGGTTGAGCGTCGACCTATGAACCAGGAGGTTACGGTTTGATTCCCGGTCAGGGCACATGCCCAGGTTATGGGCTCCATCCCCAGTGGGGGGGGGGGGGGGGGGCGTGCCGAAGGCAGCCGATCAATGATTCTCTCTCATCATTGATGTTTCTAGCTCTCTCTTCCTCTCCGAAATCAATAAAACAAAACACAGTGCCGGGCACCTGACAAGGCCTCTCCTTTCATCTGTGTGCCTTATGGGCAGGGCTGGGAACCCCTGAGGTTCCTCAGTCCTCCCTGGGGGGACGGGTGGGGAGGGAGTGAGTGTGGAGGGATCGCAGACTGGGCCCCGCAGACCCCTGGAGGCCAGGTCAGTGGCCAGGTCAGCCTTTACCTTTCGGGCAGAGGGGAGCCAGGGGTGGAGTGAAAAAGGG